GGTCTTTTCCAACTTTAATTATTCTGTGATTAGTGTGATTCTCCTAATGGAGACACAGATCTGCAAGTTGAAGAAACAACGAGGAGGGCCATATGTCACAAATCAACAACTAAGTGTTAGGACTGCACAGAAGGAATGTTTACAGTTGGCAGTCTAGCCTCATTTCATCAAAAGGTGCCTGTAACAGACAGAGATCATTCTGCACTGAGCTCAGTTTTCAAGAAGTAGTAAAATTTGCCTTAGCAGTCATTAAATAACAAACTGATGTTGACAATACAAGTAAGCAGGCACACAGTGTCTTATTAGAACCTAGGACCATCTCTCCTTCCAAAAAATATGTCATAGGACACTATGTAAACCACAGAAGTGATACACATGAAAAAATCCAGATGTGCTTCCACAAGGCATTCGTCCTTTGAAGATTCATGATACGATGCAATTTTAAAAGCAGCTCATACATTTGATAATTCTTTTCTTTGCTGGTATGGGGAGTGATGACTAATGTTGAATTCTATTTTGTACTACTTTGCATCTTAGACGGAAGGAGGCAATGACAATCTGAAAAGATTTGACAAAAAAGCTGAAGTGTTTCAAGGGAAGAATGGGGATTTTCAGGGACAGAAGTCAACTTACTCCTCATCACTTGTAACTGAGGCACTTGTTATACTAGTTTTACAGGAGAAATAGACTATTCTTGATCGGTATCGAAGCAGGTTCCTGGTTTTATTTTCCATTAGAGAGAAATCTAAGCAACTACTCTGAGCTTTTCTGTATATTTAGAAAGAGGATAAATAGCACCTTTTCTAGAGAAAATAGGCATCTCATTAATGTACTACTGGTAGCGTATTTTTTTTTGCAGAGAGGCAAGACGCTCAATTCTAAAAACTTACTCTCAGACAGAAAACAGTTCTTAAGAATTAGATGTAATGAAAGTAGGTATTCTTTTTACAGAAAGAACAGATCAGAGGGAGAATCCTTACATGTCTCCTATAAAAGTGTAAGGTTAAACTAAGTAGAAGATGAAGACTGGTAGAAGATCAGCAGTATTTAAGAAAACATGCTTAATCTCTGCTTACGAAGAACCTAGAATTGCTACCAAGGACAGTAAGAAAGCACAGAGTGGTGGCTGAAGTTTCTGACTCTTTTACCTAGATTATGCAGGCCCACCAGAAATTGAACAGAAACTGCTGGTTAAAAAATTGGCTTGAATACATAGTTCTACAGAGTAAATAGTAGCAAATGATTAAAAATGTTTCAAATGGTTTATCTCCACAATCACCTACTACCAGTTTTACTGAAACAAACAGTTTTTTCTTCTCACAACAACAACAAAAAAAATCCAACAAAACAACAAACCCTGCCACATACTGTGAGGCAACTGTCCAGTTGGTTCCCTTCTTCCCTAATGTCTTAACTCCTATTAGCACTAGCAATAAGATCTCCCAACATTATGATTTATGGCTTTATACCTTGCTATCATTTCATGCAGATACCTGTACAGTGAAATAGAAATATAAAACATGACTGAAACAGAATGCTACCATTCTACACTTTCTTAACAGGCATTACTGAATCTTCAGGTAGCTAAACAATGTTAAACACTCTTCTTCAGTATAATAAAAAGCTACGTAACAGTAGAAAATTACAGAATTCTACAGTGAGCATCAAATATCTGTACTGATAAAAAAGCAACAGTTGCAGTTGGAGGACATACTATTTGTTAAAATTGAAACTATTGCAATTAACTGAAGTTTCATCTTAACATGTTATCTCAATGAATGAGTCTCTTTACCATATGTTTATTAATGTATGTTACCAGAATAAATTAGGTATGATACTGTTAGTAAGAAACAATAAGATACTCTTACCTCCTACATACAACGGAGAATCAAAATTCAGAGTGGATTGCTTGGACAAATTGGTAATTATCTTGGGGCTTCCTCCATCAATAGATAAAGACAGAATCTGATCCATAGCCAGCAGCTCCACAATGTGGAAATTGCCATCATTAATAGTTTCCACACTGCAAAATAAACATTAATATTAATTTTAAACAGCTGATGGTCTGGTTAGAATGGTTTTTGATCTTGTTTCCCTTTAAGAGTTAATACAGCTTCAGAACAGAACTCCTCCAGGAGTGCAGTCTCCTGAAAACTAGATTTTAAGCAATGACATGCATGTATGCTTGACAGCGAATACAGTATAATACTCTTTCAATAACACTCTATTATTAATATGTATTGTAAATTAATAGCCCTTTTTCATTCAAAGTGATTCCTGTCCTCATCAAATAATGAACTGTGTAAATACAGATGATACTGTAAATGTCAGTTGAAATACAGTTACTAGGCAAGAAGCCGAACACAAAAAAAGCGTTCTTCTGCAACGATAGGAGGGCTGGAACATCTCTTCTAGGAAGAAAGTCTGAGAGTTGGGCTTGTTCAGCCTGGAGAAGAGAAGGCTCCGGGGAGACCTTGTTGCAGCCTTCCAGTACTGAAAGGGGGCTTATGAGAAAGATGGAGAGAGACTTCTTACCAGGGCCTGTAATAGGACAAACGATGTCCTGTGGTAGGACAAGAGGTAACTGTTTTAAACTAAAAGAGGGTAGATTCAGATTAGATAGAATCTATAAAGTAAAAGAAGATGATATGAAGAAGAAATTCTTTAATACGAGGATGGTGAAACACTGGGACAGGTTGCCAAAGAAGTTGTGGATGCCCCATCATTGGAAACATTCAAGGTCAGGTTGGATGGGGCTTTGCGCAACCTGATCTAGTGGAAGGTGTCCCTGACCACTGCAAAGGAGGTGGAACTAGATGATTGTTAAAGGTCCCTTCCAACCTAAACCATTCTATGATTCAAATGTTATATCAAGATCTTATTTGAGCGTGTGTGTGTGTGTGTGTGTATCCTACATGTTGTATAGTATTGGTTTTATGTATTTTGCAAGTATGAGGGCCTGAATTGACTCCAGTGATATATAAACCTACTATTTCATGGAATATGGAACTGCATCTAACCTTAGTCCTGCCAGACAAAATCTCATCATTGGTACAGACAGCTCCTCTAATGCTAGCAATAAAGTAACTTCTTATCTTTATTAGGCATGATTGTTTCTGTGTGTTCAGCTTCTGGCTAGTTCAGTGACTACTGTATTCATTTCTTTTTTTCTTGCATACATATACCATTTCCTTCTGCTTACAAGACATGAACGCAGTAGTAGGAGAATGCACAAAGGGTGTCATGCAGAGAATGCTTGTTTCGAGCATGGTGCTTATGCTGTCTAAGGACAAGCCTACACAAGTTACTAAGCACAAGAAATGGCTGTCTATGCTTACCATCCTCAATATCTACACAGCAAATGTTTAAGTGCAGGGTAACTACTCTGCAGCTGAGCACAGTTTAAGTACATCAAAGAAAGAAGAATATTATTAGTCAGTTTTGGGACTGAATATGTCATTGTACTTACATTACTTATAGCCCATTTTCCACTGGTGAATTAAGAGCTGAATGTATGGCTGCATGGAAGTTACGACAATGAGCTGTAGTCCAGAGACCAGACATTATAACCATTCCCATGAGAGCCTTTATTTGCTTCAGGGCACCATCAAATAAGTGAGCCTAAGCCTTTGGAAAAAGTTATTTAAATGAACCAATTGTATGGTAGCCTGAGATGGACTGAACAGTCATACAGTCAGTTAGCTCTTCTCATTAGGAAAGCAGTACAGCTGAAAGGGATTAGCTTACTAAATCTCAAGGCAAAAATCAAGCAAATTACCTTATAATATCCTCAGTGATGTTTTAATTAACCTAACTGCTTTTGTCCTGGAACAGATCAGAAGCACTCACATGGTCGTTTACAGCTGTGACACATTAAATAGCTTCTTAGCTATTTATTACCAACTCTAACTATGTGGACAGGCTCAGTCCAATATGGGTAAAAGATCTGCATGGTAGCATGCATGCTTTACATAAACTCAGCTCTATGTGAAAGTGCAAACGCACAACAGAGCAGACTCTGTCTGAATAAACACTTTTTGGGAGTGGGCAGGAGAAGGAGGGAGACTGCCAGGTTCTATGGGGGGAAGGAAGAAGGAAAAGGTCAGGGTTCATCATTCCTAAAGAGTAAGGTCTATTCAAGGTATTAAGATTAAGAGGTTTGTTTGCTGTGATCAAGCAATAAGAAAAGTGCCAGGATTAATTTATTTAACACATTTCAATGAATCTGGGAAAAAAGTTGTGCTAAGAAATCAAAATGCATACGACTTCTTGACTTAAGTAAGCAAGACATTCTAATAGAATGTTCTTGTTCCCAGGAAACATGCTATTTTACAACGTATCAACCTTTCAGACAATAGTATTTAAAAGGATGAAAGCAACACAGAACATATATTTTTATAGCAAGAGGTCATTCCAGGGATGTATAAAACATAATGTGTAAAGGGAATGTGTCTCTGTTAAGAGTGATTATTAAAAGCTTCTAGTTTAAACTGTTTTACTGGTAAAAATTTACTGCAGAAAGAGGAGCCCTCCTAGGTAAGAGTGGTTTAAATTAAAGGGGAAATAAACACGAGGCATATCTGTGCAATATTTCCTGCCAATGCACTTAGATTACTTCTAGCCTATTTCCCATTGGAGAAATGAGAGCTGAATGCATAGATCCTAATGAAAAGCTGTAAGAAAAACTGATTTAAAGCTTCTGGAAGTCTGTAGAAGAATAATGATTTGGAAAGAAATATTCCCATATTTCCAATAAATATATGATGAAAACTAGTTTACAGAATTAAAAATGGGTTGTTTTCTTCTGTGTGCATGTGAGTAAAAAACATTTAACATTTAAAAAAGGATATCCAGACAGAACAAAAACCAAGTGGATCAACTTTTCCCAAATAACCATCTCCAATGAATTAATTTTCTTTATTGGTCTTGGCACTGCCATCATCTCATCTTGTTACTCAGATTGACTGATGAGTGCTTTTGGGATGATGGCTCTTTCTGCAATCAATTCCCATTGGTAAAGCAGTTCTCATTCACTCTACACAGCTAGACTGCTGTTATTGTTGATTCTCTGTATTTATCATGATTAAATCATCTGTCTGTAACTTTGTTTTGTTGCTACTGCAAGTACCTCTGTAGGCTTTACAGCTCCCATCGGACTCCTTTTCAACACACAATTTATTGACTGCCATTTATATTATAAAACTTCAATTTGAATCTCTCTGTTGGCTGGTTTTTTGGTTTTTTTTTGGCCTCTGTTTCAGGCATCTCATCATTGTGCAGTGGAGTATGACTTGACTTACTCTTTTTCCTATACTATCTATGAATCTTCACTACATCAATGAAATCTGTAAATCTCTTGATAAACTTCTCAATTTTTTAATTTCCTTTCTGTCCTTCTCACTGTAAGCAACTTCCCATCTTAGTTTGCAAGATATCTACCCTGTTACCAAATTGTTCTTAAACCTCATTGTTCTTAATCATTGTGAGTTAAAATGCTCTTTTGTTTTCTTCACATCTCTCTGATAAAGCATAATACATTAACTTGTTTGCTTTTATAATTCATCACCTATTTGTACTGGGCCTGGCAGGGATGGAATTAATATTTTTCATAATAGCTGATATGGTGTTGCATTTTACATTTGTGACCGAAATAATGCTAATAACACTAACGTTTTAGCTATTGCTGAGTAATGTTTGCCCAGCATCAAGGCCTTCTCTGTTTCTTACTCTGCTGCCCCAGTGAATAGATTTGGGATATGCATGAGGTTAGGAGGGGACACAGTGGGGCAGATGACCCACATTAACCAAAGAGATATTCCATGCCATATAATGTCATGCTCAGCAGTAAAATGGAGATGAGGAGAGTTTAGGTAGGTTAGCCATCTTCTGTTTGGGAACTGGCTAAGCGTTCGTCTACCCATGGGAGATGGTGAGGGATTGCAATTGCAGCACTGTTTTGTTTTCTTTCTTTCTTCCTGAACTTTTCCTTTGGTTATGAAACTATTTTTATCTCATAATTTTTCTGACTTTTATTCTTCCTTTTCTCTTCCCCTGTCCCACTGGGGGTGGAAGGGGAGGTGAGTGAACAGCTGTGTGGCACTTAGCTGCCTACTTGCGTTAACCCAGAACACTATTTCACAATATTATTTTAGCTATTTATAATTTTGGTAAACTTCAACTGTTTCTTCTAAAATTTTCCATACTGAATGGTGCCTGAAACTGATTTTTATTTTTCTAAACAGACCAGATAATTTCCCAAACTGAAGGAAACACACTCCTATCTCTTATGCTTCTATTAACCCTTCTTTGCAGGTCATGACTTTTGGCAATGGGCTGGCAGCATTTGCCAGCTTTCTGAAAATCCACTGAGGCAAGGTGTTAAAATCTTGAAAACATGGAAGTCTGCAGAAACTGGGGGGCTAGATCCTCAAATTCTTTGTCCATGCTGGCTGTATTTCAACACACAGATGATTAGCACCTTCCCTCCAGCTGTACTTTTGGGCTGCAGTAGTACTTGCTGCATCTGAGCGTGCCAACCCATTCAAAGAGAAGGTTTTGCCTTAGCTAGATCAAGGTTACATGGACAGAGAAAGAAACTGTGTGGTTCTCATTCAGAAGAAGCAAAAATCAGGCCTACAGAGAAAGGAGAGAAGGAAGAAAAAGTGGACTGAGTAAGAAATAGTTGGAATAAAGCAAGAATCATAGTAATGGATAGTAGTTAATTGTAAAGAAAACAGGACTGGAAACTGAGTCAAGGTGGAGACAGAGGATGAAACAGAAGAGGAAAAGTGCATCAGTAGGTTAATGTAGAGAAAATCTGTGAGCAGTTTTTAAGCAAAAATGATCAGATCTGTCTGGCTTAGAAAAAAATGAAGGGAGAGGAAGGAGGAAAGAAACCAAAGGGAGGGACTGAAAGGACGGGAAACATGACAGGAGAGAGCTTTAATAGGTAATAAAGGTACAGAAAGACAACGTGCAATGAATGCGTGAAAAGAAGGGAAGAGCTGAAAAAGGGCAGGAAATGTCACAAAGATCCTAGGAAGGTAAAACAGTATGAACTGGAAACAGGGAACAGGGAAGGATGGAAACAAAAGTTAGAAAAATAAGAATAGGTTGGAAATTACGAAAGAATTAGAGTATAATGTGTAAAAGATCCTGTGCTGTAACATACTCCTTTCTAGAACCTGAAAAAGAAATTAAATAATATCTTCACTAGATGCACAAACATATATACAAATGTGGAAAGGTATACATGGCTTCCAACGTATGCCCTTCCCTTAAGGGCAAAAGACTTCATTACAGTTGATCTCAGTACAGTTACACGACAATTTTCAGGTGTCTCCTAGAAACTCACCATCATTCTTACTTGAAATGAACGGGATGTTAATAACAACATCAATAGCAATAATAACAACAATAATAACACCACCACAAGTGTGTATCTGCTTCACTAAACAACCATGTCACCCTGTAACGCTTCACTACTTTTCCCATCCCTTTCTTCACTGCACCTGCAATTCTCCACTTGTCACATAATTCAAAACAGCTGATCAACTGTGTAGGGGAGATGCTTCTGATTGTTCTGTAGCACTAACCTAATTGGGACTGTTTGTTAATTGGTAACTTTGCTATTAATGCCTTCTACATTTATAGTTTTTAATTTTATGTGTGTGACTATTGTTTTCTGATCTTTTTCTACAAAACTAAAATGGACAAGTATGAACTACCAGTGTATATTATATTCCAGTAATACGGGAGAAAGCGTTAAATTGATGAGAAAGTGTCATGGTTTAGCCCCAGCCAGCAACTAAGCACCAGATGGGATGGGGGGGGGAGAATTGGAAAAAGAAAAAACCTCATGGGTTGAGATAAAAGCAATTTAATAGGACAGAAAAGAAAGAGGAAGTATAATAATAATAATAAAAAAATGGAATATAAAAAACAAGTGATGCACAAAGCAACAATTGCTCAGCACCCCGTGATCAATAGCCTGCCCCTGAGCAGCGATTCCCGGCTCCTGGCCAACTCCAGTTTTACATATGGAGCATGTTATATGGTAAGGAATATCCCTTTGGCCAGGCTGGGTCAGCTGGCCTGGCTGTGCCCCCTCCCAGCTTCTTGTGCCTCTCCCCACTGGCAGAGCATGGGGAGCTGGAAAGTCCTTGACTGAGTATAAGCACTACAACTACTTAGCAACAACTAAAAACATCAGTGTGTTACCAGCATTATTCTCACACTAAATCCAAAACACCAGCTATTAGGAAGAAAATTAACTATCTCAGCTGAAACCGTGACAGAAATAAATATATGTTTTGAATGGGAAGAAGAAACAGAATTAGAAGACACAGAAGAAGAAATCTCAATGGATTAAACAAATGAGAGTGAAAATAACTTGAAATTACATATTATCCTGATTCCTATTGCTTCCTATTCTGACAGCTGTACCTATCAAAACAAAAATCAACAAAAATAATTAAGCGCCTGACAAAACATCTAAACTTCTTCTCTAGCACTATCACAGATAGAAAAGAAAAATCTTATTTTGAATTGTAGTCATTGAGGAAAGTGAATGTTTCATGCAATTTTAAATTTGTGTTAAGTGCTTCGATCTCCTGTAAAGTCAAATCCTATTTTTAATATACAAAAATGTATATAATTAAAATATATATGCTATTTCCACATTAAACCATTTCATGGAATTGTAAAAAAAACTTATGAAATATATATTGCTTCAGAAAATAAAAGCAGCCTTAAGATGCTTATTGTAAAAAGCTATGTTTTTACTAAACAAGTTCATATTATATTTTATAGGAATGATTTCTTTTCTGTGGAATGCTCTTAGTAACCTACTAAAATCACAGTTCCCTTGGTGTTGTTACCTAATAAAGTTTAGCATTGTTTCCCTGCTGTATAGACTTAAGCTTTTGATTTGATACTGCCATTTGAGTGAAATCATTTCTAAAAATCATTTATTTTCAATGAAATGTCCCTAGTAGAATGCAGAACAATGTCAGCTGCTACGGACTCCAGCAAGTAAATATACACTATATATAATTTTACAACACAAAAGGTATAAATACAGCAAAAAGAAGATTCAAGGAAAACGAATACTTCCCCTTTACTTCTGAATGTATTTGTAGCAACAATAGGACAATCAAGGCCCAGAAATGATGCCTATCGTCTTTTTGCTCACTCTTGCAATTTCTGTCTGCAAATTGTTGAGAAGTTACATAACTCACCCCACCCCTCCCCGGAAATTCAGGTGGTAATTGTTTCAGAGAACCAGAGAAATCTGACTTATAAAACCCCTGAAAAATTATGCTCCAGAAGCAGATGTGGATTCTGTCTCTCAATGGCTTTGTATGCAGAAAACTTTTCTATTTCAAGGGTTGTGCCTTTTTCCAGAATCAAGTTTTTAGCTTTCTCTTCACCTACCAGGGAAAAGTCCCACACTATATGGCCACCTAACACAGAAAAGAAGAGAAAATTCCATTTCATTTCTGCTTATGCAGTATAGTTATGCACTTGACCCTGCACACTAGGAAATTATTTGGCAGTAACATCATGGAAAAAACTCCACTTCCACATGTGAGCTTTACACAAATGTATAACTATTGCACTGAAAGATAACTCTTACTCAGTTTTAATAGATCAAATAACATATTATCTTTCTGACATATCTGCAGTAGAGTTATTTTCCAAGACAAATTATGTCTTTTGGCAACAGGTTTTAAATGTCTGACAGTACATACATTTGCATATATTTATTTTAACCATCTATTCATAAATGTGACTTTGATACAAGGAATTAATACATGTTTTGTTTCGGTTAGAAATTTGTTTCCTCTGGGTTCACCTGTAAATAGCAGAGGCTGGGTAAGATCCTGTGTCATAACTGACCCTCACTCTTCCCCGGTACAGCTCTACCGCTATATGATCTTTATCACCTTTGTAGAGCAGGATCCCACTGTCTTCATCTGTGGCAATCTAGTTAAAAGAAAGAAACACTTAGAAAGAACTGAAAATAAGCATTAAATCAAAATGCTGTATTAAGTGAATCTCTGCATTTACTGCCATAGTCTGTTACTTCACTGTAAAATTCTTCCTTGAAGGACAACCTGACAAATTTTTTTCTCTTAACTATCAATAAGCCCATCTACTTCAATATGAATATAGAGTTATTCCAGTGACTCTTCTATATTTTTAGTTCAAACTGTGAAAAGCTCTTTAAGCGAGCCAATGACAACTTTGGCTAATTTTCCACACCATGAAAAGTCATTTACACACACAAGCAAGCTTACCTGTAGAGTGATATTTGTTTGGGGGCGTATCTTAGCTGAAGGGATTTGTAGATAGGATTCTTTGTTGACAAAGTTTATACTGATCAGCTTTTCACATTTCTCACCCTGGTAGCCTGATAAACACTGACAGATTGGTTCACTCTCTTTTATGATACACTGGGCTCCATTTTGACATTCATAATTATCACAAGGGCTGGTGCGAGGTAGAACCATTGGTGGTGAAAACTCACAAAACAAGCCACTAAATACAAACAGAAAAAAAATCAGTATTTTTAGAAAAAAGCAACTTTGACATAAGATATACATGTTTGTACTGTCTTCAGATCCTTCTCACCTGTATCCTTCTGGGCAAATACATGTATATCCATTAACTGCATCAGTACACTGCGCTCCATTTTTACATTTGTTGTCCTGGCAGTCATCAAAGTCAATATCACAATGATCACCTACATATCCAGGTGTGCAATCACATCTGTGAAACAGGAAGGAAAGTGGGATAGCACAGTGCCTTTTTACAATACAGTGTGCTTATGACAAAGTCAAGGAACTACTGAAAACTCAAGGAAAAAAAAAGCGTTATTGTGACTTTGTAAAGACTATGTAGCTTAATCGTGTTATTGTATGAGGAATCTACATATGTAATGAATACAGGTTTGCTAGTTACACATGTTCACTTATCTGCCACCACGTTGAAGAATTGTGGTTTAAATCTAGAGAGCCCTCATGAATCATTTTGATAGGTGTTCTTGGCATTCAGCAGGAAGTACAGGATGTTTTAAGTGGCTGTAAACACTGCTTGTATCATACTGATGGATATTTTCTTCGTTAACTGAACAGCTATGAACGGACCAATGCTCCATTTATAGAGTTTAGAGGTTATGTATAAATTTTTCCCCTTGAAGTTCCACCAGCCTGACTCACTATAAATAACTCCATGGTTAGTGAACTAACAGAAGTAGCAAAACACTTGCTCTGCCCTCCCTGAGCCCTCACTGAACAAGAAACATATCCTCAAGACAAAATACTTTCCCCCCACCCATTAAACTCTCATTGTTAATGCTAGTGGCATTTCTTCAGGGAATTCTCATATATGACTGAGTGAATGCCCAGAACTCTGTGAAAAATTAATGGGGAAGATTACAAATTAATGCATCCACATTATTATTTTTTTTTTTTTTTTAATTAAGATCTATGTAATTGGTTTCATTAGATCTTGTGATTCTCTCCCTGGTGTTGTTTCTCCTAGTATCTAAAATTTCCTCTAAAGTGCCAAGAGTGATTTTAAATATCTGTGTAACTTTAAGTACTCCATCAAATTTCTCAATTTTTATTCAACATGTATGAATAAGAAAAATGAAAAAAGAATATAAAGCACACTATTAAAAAGCTGACTGAGATACATGCTTGAAGTTACTGCATGTTCTATTTTCTGATTTAAAACCTCAGAAAGTAACCTGAAAGATTAATGAACTAGGCAGTAAAGTATAAGGTGTCAAACTAGGTTCACTGAAATGGCATGAAGAAAATAAACATAACAGACAACAATTTGGATCCAACAAGTTTTCTATTTTCCAGTTGGAAACTATCAACTTTATTTCATGTTCATCTGACTATTTAATATATTTGACTATTTTTTGCCATATTTTAAATAAAAAGACATGTCATAAGTAGTAGGAATGATAATAAATGATCTGATTTTAGCGCAAGAGCATACTGTGCATAAAACAGGTGCTTATGACAACAATTGAAAGCTGCAGGTTTCCTGTACTTATTAACCTAAAGCCTATTGAAAACACTTTAAATAGTGCATACTACTTAATTATGGTAAGGATATGGTGTAATTAAAGATTAGTTTTCCTGGGGATGGACTTCTTTAGTTTATACCTTCCAGTGTGGCTTCCTAATAATCTCTTTCACCATCACTTCTCAGAAAGCAGTAGAATTATTCCACTTCAATTACATGCAATTATTTTCTCACTGTACAAGCTACCGAAAGTGTTTTATATAGACTGTCACATAGACTCACTGCTCTACTCTGCATTCCTACGTCAAATCTGACTGAAATTAGAACCGTTAAGGACCAGTAAAATTCAGTAAAATGTATTTAAAGTAATAATGTAGATCTATGTGAAAATAACAGCCTATTCTGCCATAATGCCTGATAATAACTGAACTTAGTATTTTGAGAATAGAACTTGCTCCTACTAAAACAAAAGGAAAAGAAGTTAAGCAGGGAAAAAAAGTAGAAATTTAGACCCAGTTGGACTGTGACAATATTTTAGACTTACTTGTATCCTTTGGGTGTCAAGATACACTTTGAGTCATGCTGGCAAGGATTCAGGTTTTGAGCACAGAAATCTAATTTCTCCTCACAGAGCTCACCTGAAATATAATGTATGCTGTCAATTCTGTGAAAATATCACAGTGACCTGAAAATAGCTGTTTCTATTTTAAAAGTAACTGCTACAACTGTTTTTTTTTGTTTAACTGGAAAGTGAATACTTAATGATATAATAATAAACACTACCTTTATGAAAAATATTAATACATAAATAAATATTAATAACCAAATAATAACAATACATACTAATCTTTCTGAGAACTCTTTTATTAAAAAACAGTTTTACATCAATCATCTATCCATGGATATAAATGATAATTTTGTGAAAAAATATTTTTTCATTTACAATATTTATCTAGCTATGCTGTAGAGCAAAACATTAGTGATTGAATCTCTTCTCACTAGGACAAACAAGCCATTAATATGTTTTTCTCTTATTTCTAAGCACATTACACCCAGAAATACCCAGATTTGCACTGTAGGTAATCTATTACCTGAAAAAAAACTGTTAATATCACTGCATGTCAATACAATTCCAATTATAACAAAATGAAAACTTGCTTTCTATTTTTTCTTAAACATGACTCTCCCATCTTTGCATTTGTTAACGTACCATAATTATCTATAATCTGTTCTGTAAAAAGAAAAGAAAAGAACCACCACCTCTGTCAAGTCTACCTTTCCTTGCTGCTAGAAGTCTAAGTGGCTCATGGGCTGTATAATCTATAATGGTTAACCTTAATATGGTTAAAATATTATTTCAATTGCAATTTTATGACAAGTAAATACTTACAGGTGTGTAAACAGATGAACAATGTCTTGGTCCCTGACTAACTAATCAGAAGATAACATAAATAGTGCACTTACAAAGTTTATCACTGGTTTGCAAGATAAGATATATTTATTCCAGCATCCATATGAAGAATATATGTATAATCAACAGCTATAAACATTGTGCCTGCTGAATTTAGAGACTCACATGTCTACCAGGTCCTAAAACTATGGAAGGCGTAGGGTTGCCCCTTGTCATTTGTCAAGTAATAAAAAATGCGCAAGTGAGCCAAGAGAAGTAGACCTGTACACCAAAATGAGGAAGACCAGAAGACGAGTGGATGAGAAAATACTTTCACTGCTCAAGCTCATCTTTCCTTCAAAGAGGCACAAGATTTGGTATCCCTCAGTTTTACTTATCTGGGTGTGGTAATGGCCTGCAGTGTAGTTACCTGAAGAATCAGTATCTGCTGGAGGACAGCCTGAGATTCAAGTAGCTTCACCTCTTTCCTGTCACTGTTAACACAGTACTGAGGATAAGGACAGCACCACCATTGAATACAGTATGGGGAAAGAAGGACGGACCATTTAAGGTCCAGTTTGGACAGAATCAGGAACAGGTATATTGGGAAAAGGGAGAAAGTTATAGGATAACAACACTGGAATGGAGATTTTGGAGAGACTATGTATATGAAGGAAGATATCTTCCAGAATACATACTCGTGTGTGTGTATGTGTATCAGCTCATCAGCTACTGCTATCATTAAGCAGTAAGGTTTCTGACATTTTACACTGCTCCTTGCCAAGTGCCTAGCACCACACAGAAGCTGCCCTCTTGCTTACATGGACTCCTCTGGAATTACCGAATTACGCATCATCATAAACTGAAAGCAACAGTAAATGGTTAAAGGCCTATTTGTCTTTTTCTTTTTTTTTCTTTTTTTTCAGGTTCAACAGATCCTCCAGAAAAAAACTGCCCTTTCCACAGCAAGTGTGCTTACATACTAGTGTTTAAAACTGCGTATCTCTTAGGCTTCATCGCTTAGGGCATATAGAACTTATTTCAAATAATGGACAAATAAACAAAAACTTAAGAGAGTTGAGAAACAGTCTACATTAAAGCAAGGACAGAGAAAAAAGCAAAACTGAAACAGTGCCAAAGATGGTTATGTTGGGTAAAAACACATCTAAAACATGTATGCTAAGTGTGATAAGACATGGGACCTTTACATCTTCAAAAATGAGAGAAGAAGCCAAAACCAGCTAAGTATTTTGCAGCCATCCAAAAGATCCAGACTGGTTCTACACAAAGATTTTTTTTTTTTTTAATATAAAAAACTGATAGAACATTACCAATTTGCAAGTAGTGCATCTTCCCTACAAAACGAAATAAAGCTTTTGAGTTAACACAAAAAAATGGCCTTCAAGCACAGGCTACTTAACAGTCCTCAGGAAAACTGTCAGTAACAACGTGACTTAGTCAATATATTCAGGAAACTGAATGAAGATCAAATGCAGGCCACTGAAGATGACTAATACAAAGGATTTTAGTTCTGTTCTCAAAGCCTCTTCAAACTCTCAATGGACTTATTAGTCTGGAAATGTGCAACTGTTATGACTAGGTCAGTGCACAAAGAATCCTGAAATACCAGGGATTCTTTGCATCCCACGATATATCAAACAAAAACCAGATCCCTTTCTCTTTTCAAAGGGTTTTGTTCAAACAAATACATATATAATAGGAAGTAATTCTTGACATAGCATTTAGTCAATTTGCAGAACCTGTTGTAATAGCTGAAATCCATTTAAAGGCCAGCAACATTTAAGAATGAGATATAAATATGGGAACGGGGAATTCAGATTTTCAGGAACATGGAGTGAGATAAGCAAAACTCACAGTTTTTTTTAACCTAGTTTATACACATTCCTATGGCTTAGAAATATATATATGTGCCTACATAAATGTGTATATATGCATATATCTACACACACCCATACAAATATCTCATTACGGCATAGATTCTACATTAAATTACATGCAGAACTGCAAAATATATGACAACCAGTTACAAATAATAAAAATATGGCTGTTCACTACTTACAAGACTTGGACAAAAAGCACTTCTAAACATTCCCCCAATTAGTCATTCTAACAGTGTATCAGAGACTTTCTGAAGGTGACATACTGAGCCAATCTTTCAAGCAAGGCTGGAGGTTTGCTGTCTCTAGTTAGAATCACAGGAAAAGTTTGGTGGAAAAACCCAAAATACCTAGAAAAAGGCAAATTGGGACTGACATAATAGGAGCAACCAATCTCACCGTTGCTGTCAACTTTACCGAACTGGCATTGATTTTGCTACAGGATAGTAATTGGGCCATGGCTTAGATCATTACTGGCACAGACCTCTGAAATGAGTTGTGTGGCAAACAGCTTTATTGAGTAGTGTCTAAGCTCGTCCATTTTTTTAACACACCCCCCGCCCCCTCCCCCGGTACTTATAAAAGACATGATTTCTTGCACGTGAAAAGTCTTAATTCCCAAGTCATAACTTTCAATCCTGCATAGAGACTGAAGGTCTCTATGGAGGAAGTTTAAGTTTGAAACAGGCTTACAGTTTTGAAAAATGTCCACTTCAAGTCATAAGATCAGTGTTACACCACCAGGACTACTGCAGCCAAAATGGCCTGCAAACACCATCAGGTATTTTTGAGATTATGGTCAGGCTTTGAACTGAGTAGCCCATAGAAAAGTGCACAGACTGAAAAAGATGACAAATTCGTTCAAAAACCCACTTGTCTTTAAAAGACAGGACTTTTTGTGCTGCAACAGCAAAAAAGGAAGGAAAGTTTCCCCTTGCATTTGCAAATTATATGCACTGTGAAATAAATCAGAATCATATCAGTGGAGGGAGCTTTCACTTAAACAGTCCGTTAGCAACTAGCTTAGGGAAGGAAACAGGAATCAAGGAATGAACATGGTAGACATGGCAGTCCATCTAGTTCACTAGATTTGCGTAATAATGTAAAAATCCCTACGAATAAAAAAGTCAGTTTTATATAAAGTACAAAATTTCATTATAAAGAAAAAGTAGAATTCATGACAGACTTGCACATAGGATCAGTAAAAAAAAAAAAAAAAACCCAAGAAAAATTCAAGATGTAATCCGAAACATGAACATCAGATACTGAATTTCTGAATGAATATAAATACCAGAAGAACAAACCAAAATAACCTAAGTGCGAGGTGTTCATTTGTTGTGATAACAGATTTATATTATGAATGGAGCATTCCCATAACCAAAACATAACTGTTTGCAAAAAAGTTAATAGAAAAGGTAAGTAAAAATATGTGACATTAAATCGAACCACCGAAGAATAGTTTCCTGGTGAAGCAACATCTCTTTTAGTGTATTGAATAACCAATATTTTATTCAGAATTTAACTGAGACTAGGTGAATGGGAGAAAGTGATTTTGTTGAAATGAAAATGTAGTGATGAAAGTGAAACACTCATTTAAGGGAATATCATATTTACCAAGTTAGGCTCCTTGGCTTTACTGGAAGGAAATGTTAGAGAGTTTCCTGATGTGGGAAGCACAATACTATGTTTTAAAAAACATACTTCAAAATAATAAAAAAAGATCGCAGAAGAAATGTGTCAATTCAAGGAAGCATTCTTCTATTTATCTAATAATGTTGTAACTGAGGCTTCTGTAAGAGCTTGGCTAAGTAACTATGTTTTTGAAAGACGGGAACATTTCTGTATGTAGGAAAATAAGCAACAGACTAGTTTGTTTAAAAATAAACCCTGGATAAAGCGTCAAAAATCCTATGAGAAGCTTCCAAAGTTTAATTAGAACCAGCAATAACTCTTTTCATAAGACATCTTCCTTAATTAATCTACGGAGTCTGGATTCTGGTATGGAGTAGCACTGCAACCAGCGGAACTCTGCATGGTCGGCACAGTCCAAATGAACACAACTCTCCACGGTCAAGACTGGAATATTTACTGAAATTTTGCAGCTAGATATAGAGGATGATGCAGACAACACTATTAAGTACTGATGATGAATTATGTGTAATCCTTGATTACCTAAACAAAGTTATGTTTGCTAGATTCACAGGTCAGTTTGTGTTTCCTCTGTGTATGTTAATTCACTGTTCTGAATTGATGAAATTATAAATCACAGTAAAACTTGACGCTAATTTTTCCAATATATAAAGATATGTGGTACAACAAATAATTGAGGAATGCAATGAGTTAAAAAAGA